TAGTGTCCTCTGCACCTGTTATGGGTGGGCTTGGGTTCTGAGGTTGCATTTTGTACCTTCTCATCATTTTGTGTAGCACTGTCCTCTGGCCTTTATTGTAGATATTTGCTGTAGTTATAACCTTCACACTTAATGAAGTTCAGGTGGAACTCTACAGAGTTTGGACTTATCCAGCTGTGTCTGGCTTAGGTCTGGCTGCTGTGTTCAGCTCCTTCCCTCTGCGGACCTGGGCTACGACAGGGTCTGGGCGATCTCGGAACTCAGCAGAAATTCCTACTGTGCAGGAGTGGTGGGGGAGGAAATGAACAGAGGTGGGGGGTGGCCCGAGGCGCTGGGAGAGTGTCCGGCCCACCCTGTCCCTGGACTGGGACTGGTTCCGCAAGCGCAGGTTAGCAGGAAGCTCCCCACACACTCACCAGATCTGGGTTAGTACTCTGTCTGGGGGTTCCCAGAAGTAGGCAGAAATTCCTAATCAGCAGGAGGGGAGGGGTGGTACCACGGAGTGGTGTGGGGTGGCCCGAGGGGGTGGGAGAGGGTCCGGCCCACACTGTGCCTGGGCTGGGACTGATCCCACCGGCTCAGGGAAGGAGGAAGCTGTAAACACACTCAGCGGACCTGGGCTAGGAAAGGTTTTGGGTGTTTCAGGAAGTCCGCAAAAATTCCTACTCTGTGGGAGGGGTGGGGGAAGTACGGCAGAGAGTTGGGTGGTGGACCGAGGGGGTGGGACAGGGTTTGGACCAAGCTGCTCCTGGGGTGGGAATGGTCCCACCATGGCAGGTTAGCAGGAAGCTCTCCATACACTCACCGGACCTGGGCTGTAAGTGTGAGTTCTTAAGGCAGAAGAGCTAGCTAAACTCCAGCTTCTTTGGGAAGCAGGGCACTCCAATGCCTGTTCCTGTATAGAGCGCAACACAGAAGCCTGGCTAAAACGTCACTTTTGTATCTAAATTATTTCACAGTTCCGCACTGTTTAAAAAGAGGCAAATCATTCAGTCTGCTAAAAGAAAGCATCCGTGAAGTTGGTGACTTTCCAGCTGGAACGCAGAGACACTGCAGAAGGTTGTTCTATCTCCCTTTCATTCCCATGGGCAAAGAGCCACAAACACGTTTCTAGCCTCCAGTGCCCTGAGGAAAGCTGCTTGTTTCTACCACATGATTTGTGTTTCTAACTGTGAGTTCTTAATGCAGAAGAGCCAGCTAAGCTCCAGCTTCTTTGCAGAGCCGGGCAATCCAATGCATGTTCCTGTATTCGGCACAACACAGAACTCTGCTTAAATGTCACTTTTGTAACTAAAGTACTTCACAGTTCTGCACTGTGAAAAGAGTGGCAAATCATTCAGTCTCCTAAGAGAAATCATCCATGAAGTTGGTGACTTTCCAGGTGGAGGTGCAGAGAAACTGCAGAAGATTGTTTTCTCTCCCATTCATTCCCATGAGCAAAGAGCTACAAACAGGTTTCTAGAATACAGTGCCCTCAGGAGAGCTGCTTGTTTCTACGGCATGATTCGTCTATCTCTGTGTGAGTTCTTAATACAGAGGAGCCAGATAAGCTCAACCTTCTTTAGGAAGCAGGGCACTCCAATGCCTGTTCCTTTATACGGCGCAACACAGAACTCTGGCAAAAACTTCACTTTTGTAACTAAAGTACAACACGGTTCCACGCTGTGCATAGAGTGTCAAAATATTCATTCTCCAAAGAGAAAGGATCCGTGAAGTTGGTGACTTTCCAGCTGGTGGTGCAGAGAAACTGTAGAAAGTTGTTGTCTCTCCCTTACATTCCTATGGGCAAAGATCCACAAACACATTTCTAGATTTCAATGACCTGAGGAGTTCTGCTTTTTTCTATTGCATGATTTGTGTATCTAAGGGTGAGTTCTTAAGACAGAAGTGCGTGCCAAGGTCCAGCTTCTTTTGGAAGCAGGGCACTCCAATTCCTGTACCTGTATAAGGCGCAACACAGATCCCTGCCTCAAAGTTCACTTTTGTATATAAAGTACTTCACAGTTCCGCACTTTCAATGAGTAGCAAATTATTCAGTTTCCAATGAGAAAGCATATGTGAAGTTACTGGCTTTCCAGTTCGAGGTGCAGAAAAAGTGCAGAAGATTGTTCTCTCTCCCATTCATTCCTATGGGCAAAGGGCCACAAACACGTTCGTAGACTCCAGTGCCCTGAGGACAGCTGCTTGTTTCTACTGCATGATTTGTGTTTCTAAGTGTGAGTACTTAATGCAGAAGAGCCAGCTAGGCTTCAGCTTCTTTGGGAAGCGGCGCACTCCAAAGCCTGTTCCTGTATACCGGGCAACACAGAACACTGGCTAAAACGTCACTTTTGTAACTAAAGTACTTCACAGTACCTCGCTGTGGAAAGAGTGGCTAATCACTCATTCTCCTAAGTGAAAGCATCTGTGAAGTTGGAGACTTTCCACCTGGAGGTGCAGAGAAAATGCAGAAGGTTTTTCAGTCTCCCATTTATTCCCAAAAGCAAAGAGATACAAACACGTTTCTACTTTGTAGTGCCCTGAGGAGAGCTGTTTGATTCCACTGCATGATTTGTGTTTCTAAGTGTGAGTTCTTAATTCAGTAGAGCCAGCTAAACTCCAGCTTGTTTAGGAAGCAGGGCACTCCAATGCCTGTACCTGTATAATGCTAAACACAGAACTCTGGGTAAACCGTCACTTTTGTAAGTAAAGTCCTTCACAGTTCCGCTCTGTGAAATGTGGCAAATCATTCAGTCTCCTAAGAGAAAGTATCCTTGAAGTTCGTGACTTTCCAGCTGGATGCGCATAGAAACCGCAGAAGGTTTTACTCTCTCCCTTTCATTCCTACGGGAAAGATTGACAAACACATTTCTCGACTCCAGTGCCCTGAGGAGATCTGCTCCTTTCTACAGTATGATTTGTGTTTCTAAGTGAGAGTGCTTAATGCAGAATAGCCAGCTAAGCTCCAGCTTCTTGCATGTTCCTGTATACGGTGCAAGATTGTACTCTGGCTTAAAACGTCACTTTAGTAACTAAAGTACTTCACAGTTCCGCGCCATGAAAAGAGTGGCAAATCATTCAGTCTCCTAAGAGAAAGCATCGGAGATGTTTGTGATTTTCCAGGTGGAGGTGCAAAGAAACTGCAGAAGTCGGTTTTCTCTCCCATTCATTCCTATGGACAAAGATCCACTAACAGGTTTTTATATTCCAGTGCCCTGAGGAGAAGTGCTTGTTTCTAAGGAATGATTTTTGTTTCTAAGTGTGAGTTCTTAATGCAGAAAAGCCAGGTAAACTCCAGCTTCTTTGGGAAGCAGGACACTCCAATACATGTTCCTGTATACGACACAAAGCAGATCACTGGCTAAAACTTCACTTTCGTAACTAAAGTACTTCACCGTTCCGCGCTGTTAAAAGAGTGGAAAATCATTCAGTCTCCTAGGAGAAAGCATCTGTGAAGTTTTTGACTTTCCAGGTGGAGGTGTACAGAACCTGTAGAAGTTTGTTCTCTCTCCCATTCTTTCCTATGGCCAAAGAGCATCAAACACGTTTCTAGAATCCAGTGCCCTGAGGAGAGCTGCTTGTTTCTTCTGTATGATCTGTGTTTCTAAGTGTGAGTTCTTAATGCAGAGGAGCCAGCTAAGCTCCAGATTCTTTGGGAAGCAGGGCACTCCAATGCCTGTTCCTGTATACAGCGCAACACAGAACTCTGGCTAAAATGTCACTTTTGTAACTAAAGTACTTCACAGTTCCGTGTTGTGAAAAGAGTGGCAAATCATTCAGTCTCCTAAGAGAAAGCATGGTTGAAGTTTGTGACTTTCCACCTGGAGGTGCAGAGAAACTGCAGAAGTTTGTTCTCTCTCTAATTCATTCCTATGGGCAAAGAGCCACAAACACGTTTCTAGAATCCAGTGCCCTGAGGAGAGCTGGTTGTTTCTTCTGCATGATTTGTGTTTCTAACTGTGAGTTCTTAATGCAGAAGAGCCAGCTAAGATCCAGCTTCTTTTAGAAGCAGGGCACTCCAATGTTTGTACTTGTACACAGATCAACACAGAACTCTGGCTAATACTTCACTTTTGTTATTGTTTGTGCTTTGTGTTTCTATGTGGCCCTTCTTAATTCAGAAGAGCCATCAAATCTCCAGCTTCTTTGAGAAGCTGGGCACTCCATTGCCTGTTCCTGTACTCAGCGCCAAACAGAACTCTGGCTAAAACATCACTTTTGTGACTAAAGTACTTATGCCTTAGTTACTCTTCTCTCGTTGCTGGGACAAATACCTGACACTCAAAATGTAGAATGAAATGGTTTATTTAGCTCACAGTTACTGGATTTTTCAATCCATACTCATCTGGGTCCAATGCAGATCTTCTCAGAGCAGAAAGCAAACTTTCATTGAGGCGGCAAAGACCAAGAGTGCAAGGGAGGGGTAGGAGGAACTCAAGCAGAAGCTTCTCTTCCTACCTTACATTGTAATTCAAATTACCTTTCCCAGGGTAGGGCAAGTACTCACACCTATGGGTATTTCCCTGTACTTACCCACCTATGGGTATTCCCAGCATTACTAAAACCCATAATCCCAGCCTTGTATCACACATAATCCCAGTGGATCATGAGTTAACACACACTGTAGAAGTCCTCACCCCATGACTGCATGAGGCTTTGGGGGGACAACTAGACACAAACCATAACATTCCACCCCTGGACCCCCAAAGTCTCATGCACATCCCTTTGTGCAAAAGACATTTTAGTTCATCTCTAATAGTTGCCAAAGTCCCAACAGTTTCAGTATTACTGAAAAGTCCTAGTCCCAAGTCTCCTCCAAGGTCCAAGGCAAACTCTTAACTGTGAGCCTCTGTAAAAAGAAAAATTTAAACACATCCAACATTCAAAGGCACAAGATAAACATTACCATTCCAAAAGGTACACACAGTAGGATACCAAGCATTGGGACAAACACAAGTCCAGAAGCCAGCAGGGCAGACACTAAGTCCTGCAGTTCCATGTGGATCATCTGAAGCAATCTGCGATGAGTTGTGAGCTCCGAAGGCCTTACGTGGCTCCACCCCTATGGCACTTCTGCTGGTAGCTCTATGGCTTCTCTCTTCAGCCTGTTTTGCTCCCTTTTTGCAACTTTTCTTAGACCATCCACATTCCTGGCATTTTCAAACTTCTGAGGTTTCCACTGAGTAGGCTTCTCACTCACAGCTTCACACACTGCCCTCTCAGGAGCACACTGCCTGTCTTCCCAGGCCTTCTTCTGAAATCTGGCTGGAAGCCTTCTGAACCTCAGAACTCCTGCATTCTGCATGCACCTATGACCACCAAAGCCACGTGGATGATGCCAAGGGCTGCTGCCAGCTGGAGCAGTAGCCAGGATTTCCTCTCTCTTGGCTGTATGGTCGAGTGCCTGGATCGCTGAGCACTCTGACCCTGATTCTGAAAAACAAATTCTCTATGCGGGTGCCATTCTGCAATCTGATGTGGCCTCTGCCTCCATTCTGGAACCTGGTGTGGCTGCTGCCTCCATTCTGGAACATGGAGCTCTGCAGCTTTCTCCTCAAAGCAAAGTTCCTCACCCTTGCCATTCTTAGGCTGCAAAGGGCAAGAACCTGCCACCTCCTGTGATGCCCTTGGGACATCTTTTCTACTCTCCTGTTCCTTCTCAGCAATGGAGATCCTCTGAGCTCTGTCTTCACAGTCCACAGCTTTCCTGGAGCTTCCTTTCTGGTCAAACTCAACATTTTAAATCATCCTTTTGGGCTCTTTGCTCTTGATTCTCAAAATAGATCTGGGTAAAAGCCCCTAGTAACAACCAGGCCACTGCCCCAATATTTGGCTGCCTTGAAATTTCTTTTGCTAGATTGATCAGTCCACCATGCTTAAATTCAGTCTCAGGCAAAGATTTGGGCACGAGCAAAATGCAGACAACTTCTCTGCCAAGTCAAAACACAGATGATCGGGAGTCCCACAACCAATGCTGTCTTTTTCCCCAGCAGAAAACTCCCCAGCCTGGTCTGTACAGACCAGCTTTCTATCAATGCTCTGGTCTTCTGAGCTCTGACCAGAATCTCCCATACAGAACAGCCAAAGCTGTTCCAGCGCTTCACTTGTAGACCATATCTACGAATCTTTCCTATCTCTTTCCATGAGCCAGTCCCAAAAGCTTGTAATCAGGTTTAGCCACAGCAACGACTCCACTTCTCTGCTACCAAATTTTGTTATAGTTACTCTTCTCTCAATGCTGGGACAAATACCGACACTGAAAATGAAGGAAGGAAAGGTTTATTTAGCTCAAAGTTACTGGAGGTTTCAGTTCATACTGGCCTAGGTCCAACGCAGAGCAGAACACAGAAGAAAGCAAACTTTCATGGTAGCAGCAAAGAGCAAGAGCTCAAGGTAGGGGGAGCAGAAGATCAAGCAGCTAGCTTCTCTTCCAACCTTACATTGTAATGCAAATGACCTGACCCAGGGTAGGGGAAGTACTCACATCTATGGGTACTTCCCAGTATTTACCCACCTATGGGTAGTCACAACAGTACTAAAACCCATAATCCCATCCTTGGATCACACATAATCCCAGTGGATCATGAGTTAACACAAACTCTAAAAGTCCTCACCCCATGACGGCATGAGGCTTTGGGGGGACACCTAGACACAAACCATAACAACGTAACAGATCAGTGTTGTGAAAAGAGTGGCAAATCATTCAGTCTCCTAAGAGTAAGCATCCGTGAAGTTGGTGAGATTCCAGCTGAAGGTGCAGAGAAACTGCAGAACGTTGTTCTCTCTCCCATTCATTCCTATGGGAAAAGAGCCACAAACAAGTTTCTAGACTCCAGTGCCCTGAGGAGAGCTGCTTGTTTCTACTGCATGATTTGTGTTTCTAAGTGTGAGTTCTTAATGCAGAAGAGCCAGATAAGCTCCACATTCTTTGGGAAACAGGGCACTCCAATGCCTGTTCCTCTATATAGCGCAACAGAGAACGCTCCATAAAAAGTCATTTTTGTAACTAAAGTACATCACAGTTCTGCACTGGGAAAAGAGAAGGAAGTCGTCCAGTCTCCAAAGAGAAAGCATCCGAGAAGTTTGTGACTTTCCAGCTGAAGGTGAAGAGAAACTGCAGAATGTCCTTCTCTGTCGCATTTTTTCCTATGGATAAAGAGCCAGAAGCACATTCCCAGAATCCAGTGCCCTGAGGAGAGCTCCATGTTTCTACTGTGTGATTTGTGTTTCTAAGTGTGAGTTCTTAATGCAGAATAGCCAGCTAAGCTCCACCCTATTTGGGACTCAGGGCAATCCAATACCCATTCCAGTATAGAGATCAAAACAGAACTCTGGCTACAATGTCACTTATGTAACTAAAGTACTTCACAGTTCTGAGCTATGAAAACAGTGGCAAACCATTCAGGCTCCTAAGAGAAATCATCCATGAAGTTTGTGACGTTCCAGCTGGAGGTCCAGAGTAACTGCAGAGGGTTGTTCTCTCTTCCATTCCTTATATGGGCAAAGAGCCACAAACACGTTTCTAGACTCCAGTGGACTGAGGACAGCTGCTGGTTCGTTCTGCATGATTTGAGTTTCTAAGTGAGCTCTTAATGCAGAAGAGCCAGCTAACCTCCAATCTTCTTTTGGAGGCAGGGCACTCCAATGACTGTTCCTGTGTAAAGCGCAAATCACAACTCTAGCTAAAAAGTCACTTTTGTAACTAAAGTACTTCACAGTTTGATGGTTTTGGAAGAATGGCAAATCATTCAGTCTCCTAAGAGAAAGCATGAGGGAAGTTTGTCACTTACAGCTGAAGGTGCAGGGAAAAGGCAGAAGATTGTTCTCTGTCCCATTCAATCATTTGGGCAATGAGCCACAAACACGTTTCTAGACTCCAGTGCCCTGAGGAGAGCTGCTTGTTTTTACTTCATGATTTGTGTTTCTAAGTGTGAATTTTTATTGCAGAAGACCAAGATAAGCTCCAGCATCTTTGGAAAACAGCGCACTCCAATGCCTGTTCTTGTATATGATGCAACACAGAACTCTCGCTAATACTTCACATTTCTAAGTAAAGAACTTCAGAGTTCTGCGATGTAAAAAGACAGGCAAATAATTAAGGCTCTTTAGAGAAAGCATCCATGAAGTTTGTGACTTTCTACCTGGAGGTGCAGAGAAACAACAGAAGGTTTTCACTCTCCCATTCATTCTTATGATCAAAGATCAACAACTATGTTTCTAGACTCCAGTGCCCGGAGGACAGCTGCTTGATTCTACTGCATGATTTGGGTTTCGAAGTGTGACTTCTGAATGCAGAAGAGACAGCTAAGCTCCAGCTCCATTTTTATGCAGGGCACTCCAATTCTTCCTGTACAAAGCACAAACAAGAACTCTGGCTAATATTTCGCTTTTGTAAGTAAAGTACTTCACAATTCCATGCTTTGAAAAGAGTGGCAAATCATTCAGTCTCCTAAGACAAAGCATCCGTGAAGTTTGCAATTGGCCAGCTGGAGGTGCTGAGAAATGGCAGAAGGTTGTTCTCTCTTCTATTCATTCACATGGGTAAAGAGCCACATACTCTTCTCTAGATTCCAGTGCCCTGAGGAGAGCTACTTGTTTCTACTGCAAGATTTGTTTTTCTAAATGTGAGTTCTCAGTGCAGAAGAGGCAGCTAAGCTGCAGCTTCGTTGGGAAGCAGGTCACTCCAATGCCTGTTCCTGTATACAGCCCAAAAGAGAACTCTCGCAAAAACATAACTTTTCTAACTAAAGTACATCACTGTTCTTCAATGAGAAAAGAGTAGCACATCATTCAGTCTCCTAAGAGAAATCATCAGTGAAGTTTGTGACTTTCCTGCATGAGGTGCAGAGAAACTGCAGGAGGTTGTTCTCTCTCCCATTCATTCGTATGGGCAAAGAGCCACAAACATGTTTGTAGACTCCAGTGCCCTGAGGAGAGCTGCTAGTGTACAATGCATGATTTATATTACTATGTGTGAGTACTTAATGCAGAAGAGCCAGCTAAGCTCCAGCTTGTTTGGTAAGCAGTGCACTCTATTGCCTGTCCCTGTAAAGAGCGCCAAACAGAACTCTGGCTAATACATCACTTTTGTAAGTAAACTACGTCACAGTTCTGCGCTGTGAAAAGAGTGGAAAAATATTTAGTCTCCTAGGAGAAAGCTTCCCTGAATTTTGTGACTTTCCAGGTGGAGGTACAGAGAAACCGCAGGTTTTTCTCTCTACCTTTCATTCCTATGGGCAAAGACTTACGAACACGTTTCTAGACTCCAGTGATCTGAGGAAAGCTGTTTGTTTCTACAGCATGACTTGTGTTTGTATGTGTGAGTTCTTAATGCAGAAGAGCCAACTAAGCTCCAGCTTCTTTGGGAAGCAGGGCACTCCAATGCCTGTTCCTGTATACAGTGCAAAACAGAACTCTCACAAAAAATTCTCTTTTGTAACGACAGTACTTCACAGTTCAACACTCTGAAAAGAGTGGAAAATCATTGAGTTTCCTAAGAGAAAGCACCCGTGAAGTTTGTGACTTTCCAGCGGGAGGTACAGATAAACAACAGAAGGGTGTTCTCTCTCCCATTCATTCCTAAGGGCAAAGAACCACAAACACATTTCTAGACTCCAGTGCACTGAGGAGAGCTACTTATTTCTACTGCAAAGTTTGTGTTTCTAAAGGTGAGTTCGTAATACAGAAAGTTAAGATCCAGCTTCTTAGGGAAGCAGTGACACTCCAATGTCTCTTCCTGTATAGAGTGCAAACCAGAACTCTGGCTAAATTGTCACTTTTGTAACTAAAGATCTTCTCAGATCTGCAGTGTGAAAAGAGTGGCAAATCATTCACTGTCCTACGAAAAAGCATCCGTGAAGTTGGTAACTTTCCAGCTGGAGGCGCAGAGTAATTGCAGAAGGTTTTTCTATCTCCCATTCTTTGTTATGGGCAAAGATCCACAAACTCATCTCTAGACTCTAGTGTCCTGAGCAGAGTTTCTTGTTTCTATTGCACGATTTGTGTTTCTAAGCCTGTGTTCTTAATGCAACAGAGCCAGCTAATATCCAACTGTTTTGGGAAGTAGGACATTCCAATGCTTGTTCCTTTGTAGAGCGTAACACAGAACACTGGCTAAAAGGTCATTTTAAACTAAAGTACTTCAAAAGTATGCGCTGTGAAAAGAGTGGCAAATCAGTCTCCTAAGATAAAGCATCTGTGAAGTTTGTGACTTTCCAACTTGAGGTGCTTAGAAATAACAGAAGTTTGTTCTCTCTACCATTCATACCTATGGTCAAAGAGCAACAAATGTGATTCTAGACTCCAGTTCCCTGATGAGAGCTGCTTGTTTCAATTGCATGATTTGTATTTCTAAGAGTGAGTTCTTAATGCAGCAGAGCCAGCTAAGATCCAACTTCTTTGGGAAACAGGGCACTCCAATGCCTGTTCCTGTGTACACCGCAACACCGAACTCTGGCTAAAACTGTACTTTTGTAAGTAAAGTCCTTCACACGTCCACGTTGTGAATAGAGTGGCAAATCATTGAGTCGGCTAAGAGAAACCATACGTGAAGTTTGTGACTTTCCAGCTTGAGATGTATAGAAACAGCAGAAGGACGTTTTCTCTCCATTTTGTTCCTAAGGGCAAAGAGGCACAAACACGTTTCTGGACTCCATTACCCTGAGGAGAGCTGCTTGTTTCTACTGCATGATTTGTGTTTGTATGTGTGATTTCTTAATGCAGAAGAGTGAGGCAAATTGCAGCTTCTTTGGGAAG